CATCATCCTGCACAGCGAAATGGAGCGATTTCTCTTTGCTCGGTGAGGTGATCTACGCATTACTACTTCTACCTTCCTGCAGAAGGGGAGAAGTGAGCGTGAGATTCATCTGGTTGCTGGGACCTTTGAGAAGGGGAATAACAAAGCAGCCACCTTCACAGCTCCTCCCGAGGGTGGCAGGGGTCTCTTTCTCAAGGTGGGTTAGAATTAACCTGGAAGCTGAACGTGGTCCCGAGATCGCTTTTGCAGGTGCTCAAGGAGTTGGATAATGCTGGTGTTACAGCCCTTTGGTTTTTATTGTCCTCCCCACGCTCCATCTCCTCCCTTCAAAGCATTTCCTGAGCCAGGAACTGTGGTGGTGGGCTGGCTTGGCCTGATCCCTGGCTGCAGAGGCGATGGCATGCTGCTTTCCTTACCCTACCGCCCCTTCTCTCCACTTGCTTGGCACTGGGCTTTTGCCTGCAGGCTGCTTTTGTAGGCAGACAACATGATGTAGTGTGGGAACGGGTTTTCATTATCACAAGCCGAGGGGCGCTGTCAGAGATGAGCCCTGATATGTTCTCCTTTAGACCGCAGTCGGGATTTGCTCTCACGCTCCCTCCTAACTCATGTTTACCAGAATGGCTCTAAGCACCATAACAAGGGTTGTTTGGATTGGTTTAGTTAGTTTATGGGGAATGTCAAGGTCCTTGGCCGGTTGTCTAAAGAGCAAGATGAAAGAATGTTTTCAGATGTCCTTTCTCTCCAAAGCACAAGCTTACAGTTTTTGTCAGAATAATCTACTGGGACGTCCGAGGCCAGGAAGTCGCCATGTTGTAAAAGGGGTCTGCAGCGTAGCGCGCACATGTGGCCAATATGTCTGATGTTTTAGTGCAAGACTGTTGCTGGGGAGCTTAGCTTTCTGAACTTGGTATCCTACGGGCAGAAAATGACTGCCAGGCTGCACGCTCTGCTCTTCTTCCCATCGCCTACAACCCACCTCTGCACCTCCAGAAACAAATCTTCCAGTTGAGTATCTGGAACAGATGGTGGACTCCTGCCGCATGACAGATGACAGCTACCTTAGCAGTCTTTCAGTGTGTGGCCCACAAAGCATGCATCCTTGAACGTGATAGTCCCTCATGATCTGAGTTGAGTTATACTGCGGACTGGTGTAGTGCATCCATCAGAAACGCATCAGTGTTAGCACTCTGGCTCAGCCACAGTATGCTGCTTATACAGGCTGTCTGGACACTCTCATTATTAGTGGAGCAAGTGGTTTTAATTTAAGTATGCATTTTTTGACCTCCAGTCATTTCAGAAAGGCCCCGGCTTTAGTATGTGCTGCTGCCTTCTCTATCAGGGCTGCTCTGTGAAAGCCCGTCAGGACTGTGCAGTAAAGGCACACATGCTTACAATAAAAAGAAGAATGAATTTGCATTTTTCTCCAGTGCTTTTATGTGGCCCGTTGGTTTATGACTCTCAGCCTGTAGCATAGGCAGCCGTGCCAATAATGCAGCTTCATTTTTCCATGTCACGTGCTGCTGTGCCAGGTCCAGCAATAGCAACTGTTGAACAAAAGGGAGGAGAATAATACAACCTGCCTTACCAGAAGCCCAAATGGAGTCAGATCTGTGGGAAGCTGGAAATGACTTTTACAGCAAGTTAGACACTAATCACACTTTCTTTCCCTCTCGCCTACCCATTTATCTCTTTCTCCTCCTCCTCCATGTTTGGCCATAAATAACATGTCCACTCCTTTGTACCTGGGTGACTAATAGTGATGGTAAAGGGCATCTCTTTCATAATGGAAAATGTCTTGTAAATAACCAAGTGAGAGATGTGCCTAGTAAAACAAGATAGAGTTGCAGGAGGGAAGATTTTTAAGTGCAGCATCGTCTTTGGAGGTCTAGGAGAGGCCAAGGATACTGGAAAAAGAAATGCCAACAGAACGCCCTATCAGTTTGCCTCAAAATGGACAGTGCAACCCTGGAGCAACGGCTGTTTACCTAGTGATGACTTGCCAGGTTTGTCTTTTCCATCTCGAGTTTGAAAATACAATAGGTAGGAGATGCTGCTTTCATTATTTTTATTCACCCTTCTGTGTCCTTTGACCTCAAATGGCTCATTGTTTAGCACAGTCTGAAGTGATGCAAAACCAAATAGTCTTAAAATGTGCTTTATAGGAAAGGATCAAATATATATTTTTTTCTACAATCTGAAGACATTTGAATGGATTGTTTTGCAGTATATTTTAAAACTCCATGGTGAAACCCTACACATGACCAGATGACAAATTCCTTATTGGTTTGAACTGGCAGCACTCCATATGATCAGACCCTAGCGTCTACCTTGCAGTCTTTCCTGTAGGGGAAAAATGACTAGAAGAACATCAAGAACTGCTTTTATCGCTTCTAAAGCGCTGAGTCCTGAACTTAGTTTCCATTCCATATTTCCCTTTTCTTTTATTTGTAGTGTGCAAAACACTTCTGATGCAGGGTTTGAAGCGTGCTGTTCAGTGCTGTACTGTGCAAATGTCTGTGGAAAGTGGTGTCCTACAAACGAGAAACGCAGAATGAGTTACCCTCTGTAAATTGTATACGATACATTTAGTAGGGGAGGGTGGAAGCTCTCCAAGCTTGGATGGTATCTTTCAAGATTGTTTTAGTTTTCTGATTATTTAGAGAGACAGAGAACAAGTTTTGATGTCATTTCTCTGATTTTTTCCCATGTACATTCCAACTTTTCTTGGCAATAGAGGGTACTTGGAATGAATCTAGTATTTCTCTTTTATTCAAGTGTTGGAATGTGAAGCTCATCTTTTATCTCCCACCCTCCCTTTTGAAATGTTCATATCAGAGGGGCTGTTTTACCATTTGGTTGAGGAATGAAGATGCTCGAGCCCCCAAATAAATAGCGCTGCTTGTTCAAATCAGTTGCTTGTTTCCAGTTTAGTAGTCTAAAGTACAAGAAGCCCAGATGAGTGTGCGCTGAGGTTTGTGACCAAAAAACCCCCAAACATTTTAAAGCTTTCTGTGAAGATTTCAACTTTTATGCTGTCAGGGCTGAGAGTTGATTGGTGCTTAAGGGAAGGCTTCAGTCATGTTTGGACTTTGAAAGTTTACAAAGCCAAGTTCTATAGATTAACATTCTCTGTTAATTGATAAACCCATTGGCTTTGGATGTGGTCAGGTTAGTGCCTCTCATTCTTGATAATGTTCCTCGTTTCTGAGACCATTTCAGATGCTGGCAACCTTGAAATGCACAGCCATTGATGGCTTTGTATGTAATTTTAACAGTATCTCAATATAACAATATTTAAAAATATGCACATTACTAAGGATTTCATATTGTATTTTTTTATAATTGGAATGCCTATCTACATAGGCAAGGTAAAATGCCAACTCTCTTCCCCTACTTGTACCCATCCCATCCCAAACCAAATCAAAATAAATTTCACCTATGAAAAAGCACTAAAGTATCTTATTTAAAGGGCCTCGTGCCATCCTGCCTGCAGCACTATTACCTGTAAATAATAAGACAAGTTGCGTCTAACTGTGATTTGCTGTGTGCGGGCCGCCTCCTGCTCCCATCCATGTCGCCATGAGCGGGCCGGGAGCGATATGCGGACCCGTCTTTGCGCATGCGGGCTGTGGCCAGCAGCCCGGGCACGCGGGATTGGAGAGACCTGGTGGCGAGCTAGAATTAGTTACGGACGCGTAATGGTTGATTTAAAGATTGTTTACTTACACCAAAGACGGTCGTGGTGTAGGCTGGACAGTTTCCAGGTTCAGCTCCGCTTAAATCCTCGTTAGAGGACTACGACAATTCGGTTCTAGGCCCCGGAGTTATTGAAGCTCCGCGGGTTCGGTTCGGTAATTGGCCCCGGAGTTGTTGAAGCTCCGCGGGTTCGGTAGTTTCTTGTATAGGAAGGGATACGTCTAGGAATTTATCGGCGACGGGGAGAGGCTAGAGGCTGTTCGTTCTTTTGCCCGGAGTGGTTAAGGCTCCGCAGGTTCGGTTATTCGGCCTCTATTGCCTTTTAAGGAAAGCGTTGGGTTCGTAAGGATCCGCATTTCTTAGATGCAAAAAGAAATGCACCATGCAAAGAAAGCTACAAATTGGCGGGAATACTCTTTTGCACTGGGGTTCTCTTCTGTAGCAGAAAACTCTACCGTGCAAAGAAGCTGCAATTTAGCGGGAACATAATTTAGCGGTGCCGAAGCACACAAAAACAAAAAATCACAACTTTGGGTTGTGACATGCTGAACCCTTTGTGAAAGTTTCTCAGGTCCCCGCTTTGTTCCAGACTCTTAAGCTCATCCTGATTTATTTGAATGGTTTTAAACCTTTTGACTGAATGAACATGACCTCTAATTTTGAAACCTTGGCTGATTTCACATCAAAACTATTTACAATTCAGGGTTTTTGTTCTGAGTTGCTTGAATCTCTATTGTAAGGCAGCCTTCAGGAGCGTGTGTATATCGAGGGGAGGGAAGCTGAGAACCAAGAGAGGATTCCCAGAACCCCCTCCATAGTGAACGGTAGCTGTAAAACTAGAATGCCTTGTGCTACCATGGAGCTTTTGTCTTCTCGTGCTTCTTTCTCCTTTTCTTTGGAGCTTAGGCCTGCAATATGCTGAGCCCTCCCCACCAATCAGCAAAGCACTATGAAAGGAGGCAGGGGGGTACTCCCATTGACTACAGGGGCTGCAAATATGGATGGAAGGTGTGTCCCTAAATGCTTTGCTGAACTGGGACCAGAGCATCCAATGCCTTGCAAACCTGAGCGTCGCTTCTCAAAGTGAGTAGGCACCTACCAAAATTGCAATTTCATGGAAATCGGGCAATGCTTGTGAAATCCACAAGAGGGAGAAAAAAAAATGAAACAAAACCTTACTGAAAATAAAATGCTGCCTCCCCACAGGGAGCCAGCAGACCTCATGATGCAGTGGCCCAGGCAGGTGGGAAGAGGACTGCTCGCATAAAGGAGAGCCCAAGGTGGCAGTTGCCCCCGTCCCTTGCCGCTGATTGGTTCAGAGGGCTGCCTATCATGCAGCCCCACCCCTCCAGGAATTGGCAGAGAGTGGTAGGACTGCATGATGGACAGCCCTTGCAACTAGTCAGCAATGAGGGGTGGGACTATGGCAGACAGCCGTCATAACCAGGGACCACTGAGGCCCGTCCACCAATCGGAGCATGGGGGGAGTGTCATAACCAGCCCATGAAAATGGTGGTTGACCCAACGATCAACCTGCAAAATCGGCCGGCCGCCACCTTGAGTTGGGTAGATCCGTAACTGTGAGCACTTGACTCCTCGACCCCTATTTTAGAGACTGAATCGCGCACCTCTTTCTCTTGTTATACTGATAGCAAAACTTTCCCGTGAGGCCTGGGTGCGTTGCACTTGAGTTAACATCCGGAAATGGGGAGAGGAGACTTAGGTGGCTAGCACTATTTCTACTGATTCTGACAGACTGGTGCCGCTGGTAGGGTTTGTGTAGTCTAGCGTATATCCCAGCCGCAAGGCCTTTATGAATAAAACTGCTCCAGCGTGAAGCATGACAAGCAGGGGAATACCTGCCAAGAGGAGAAAATTCACAAACCCTTATTTCCTTGATGAATGGGGCAAATTAGAACAAAAAAAGCAAGTAATTAAATAGTTTTGTCTGTGTTTGTGACGGTTCAAATTGGTTTAATGCTTTCATGGCCTTTCATTAACGCACACTTAACTAGACAAGAAAAAGCATAATCTAGGTTTAGACCTTGCTATTTTCTGTGCCTTGCCCTGCTGCTCTTGGGTATTACGGGGAAGGAGGGGTCTGGGAATAGAGCAGGAGCTGAAAGCAGTAAGGTGAATCGAGGGCAGAGCGAGAGGCTTAACTTGCAATTTCCTTGCTTTTGTTGGTTCAAATCTGACCCTTTCACTTCAAAAAAAAAAAAAAAAAAAAAAAAGTTTTGTATTTCATTTCCTTAGTTGTATAAGTTAATGGGAGAGGTGGGTAGAAGGAGCTAGGGACAGGGGTCAGGTATAGGACAGACAAAAATAAAGCAAAGCACCTGATTTCATTTTATTTTATTTTTTACTCCCAGCAGAGACCTGCATACTTCGAGTAGGCCAAGAAAGATATAAAAGTGGTTGTCTTCTGGTTGAATGCTTGAAAGCTTTTGGATTTAGCTGGCTTTACAGCTTTCTGTGCAGCCCTGGAGTATCTCCCTCCCTCCAAATACCTTCTGGGCAAGATACACTGACCCTGACTAAGCCAATGTAGCTGGAAAAGAATTGGGCTCAATAAGGCAGAGAAAAACAGTCTTTCTGGCAACCGAAGGGGACTTCTTTCTTTGGCTCCTCGGAGGCTAGCTCCCCTTCCCAACCATAGCACCGTGCCTCTTTCCTGTTAGTTCTCTGCCAGCTGAAAGATGGAAGCAGCAAAGGAAAATAAATATGCTTCAAGCTGTGGAAACATTACCGAAGACAAAAACATCCTGCGTGTTAGAGCTAAAGCTCCATTTTTAATCGCACTCATGAGTATTGGTAGGTGGACCTCTGACAAGGCATAGGCTTGATGCTAGAGTTTCTGGGTGAAGTCTTATGGCCTATGAAGTAAAACTGAGTAAGCATTATAGCTCCTTCTGGCCTAAC